ACTAAAGCATGCTAGAGACAAGACAATATTATCAAGAAAATTACCAGGAAAAGAAAACACATTTATCATCCTGGACAGTGTTTCCCCATACTTTGTTTATATCATGTATTTACAGGAAAAATCCTCCTAGGGGTGGGCCCCCGCCATTCAAATCCATGTTGTTCAGAGTCAGCCACACATTTATGGTAAGACTGTTGGAGCCCCCCAGAAAGAATTTCCTTTCCTGAAGCTTGTTCTGACTGCAAAAGGCAACTTGGAGCAGCAGATGCCTGTCCAGTGGGAAATATTATTTTTTCTCCATCTCCCAGATCCCCACCCTCATCCCTACCTCCCAGTATACTTAGAAATACAGGAGGGTTCCTTCACAGAGAGATCTAAACTGGACCATTCTCCATCCTCTTTAGTCGCTTTCCATTTCCTTCAAGGTCTTCTTCCTTCCCCGGCTACTCAAATTCTTGATATTTTGTCCAAGACAAATAGCTTTTCAGATCTTCTGCAATTAAAGACACCTCTTCCCACCTGATACGTACAGTGGCTGTGGCAACAGTGGCCTGTTCTTGGAAGATGCTATTTTAAACCCCCAAGTGTACCAGAAATGACGCAGAATTCTTGAACGTGGCTGAGATGTGTCAAGTCACATAAACACACATGCTTCATTTTGCCCTTGGCTTCAAGTTTTTTCTAACAGGTTTCAGAATTACCAGCTCATTAAAGGGAAAAGGAAAATGCAGGTGTATAAATTTTTAAAATAACAACAATAATTATCAAGTTGAGGCCCCGGGGGCAGAATTGGACTTCATGGTTGAGAGTCACTTCCCCGCTTTCAGGGAGGAGTGTTTTCTGGGTGTTCTCTGGAGACTGACTAAGCAGCCCCGACCCCCCTGTCCTCTCTCAAGCACAGAGTTAGCAGTTAAAGGATGGATGAGAGTTTGGATTTGCTGCTCACTACCTAGGAAGAGACCCCACATTTGGATGCATCCTCTCTGTTCAGCCTTTGCTACAAAGCTACCAGGGAAGCTGAGACACCCCATTGTACAGATGGGGAAACTGAGTTTAGAACAGGGCAAAAGATTTGCTCCAGGCAACACAGTTGTAAGAAGTAGAACCGGGTTTCAAAATTAATTGAGAGACCACCTAGCATGATGGTTGTGATCACGGACTCGACCCAGAATGCATAGTCGGCTATTTAATGCACCTGTGCAACACTGAGCAAGTTCCTTGAGCTCTCGGTGCCTCATTTCCTCATCTGTAAAGTGGGGGAAGGAGGCGTGATCTGCCAATGTGGTTGTAGTGAGGAATAAAAGATCAATGCATGTAAAACACTTAGAACAATGCCCAGAGCCGCCAGCCTCTCAAAGCTGCTGTTTATGATGTGTGTCCTTTCCACCACCCCAGCCTCGCCTCTGCCAGGTTCCAGCACCTGACACTTGGTACATAATAAAATGAAGTTGAAGAGTCCAAGCCCAGACTTTAGAAATGCTAGAACTCAAGGGCTAGGCTTCTTAAATCTGTTCTTTGATGGCTCACCCGCCTCGGCCTACTGTAGTTCAGACTCAGATGATTAGAAGCCACCGCTGCCCAGCTCAAGCTGAGAGGCAGGCACGCCAGCCCCTTTATGACAAACCAGCAAGCGGGTGTAAAAGAAAGATAACCACCTCCACCCCCACTCAGAGACAGGAGATACTTAATTATCTGCCACCCAGATAAACAGCAGGACAGGATTGCTCAGAGCACGCTGAGCCGAGGCGGTCTGCAGGGGCTGCACCAGGCGTTGGGAGAAGCTAATGGTGTGATTCTGCGCTGGGTAAAGGGTGAGAAAATGAGCCTGAGGCTGTTGGCAGCCTCTGTGGACAGGACGAGGAGGTGGGTGGCTCAATGGGTCAAGGGTGGAAGAAAGGAGGCTGCAGGTTTAGCCCCCGGAAGCATGTCACCTATGCCTCTGGCATATGAAGCTAATAAAATTGTCTCCTAATGAAGCTCATAAAATTGCCAGACGTCAAGAGGGAGATCTCCAAATGCTGTTTAGCAACTTGGAAGTCAGAGGACAAGCTAAGGGAAGACGTAGGACAAGAGGCACTGGGTGCACAGAGCCAGGATGCATGGCCACTGGGGGTCACTCATGGTGCTTCTGAGACTCGGACCTTGAGGGTCTTATTCAGGGAATTTTTCAGGGAATTCAACCTAGTGAATTTCCAGCAGTCTGTGCAAACCTTGACTACGTAAGTTATTTTAGGCTCAAATAAATCATGGGTCTCCAGCAAAAGGGTTCAGAGAGAAGACCAAGTAAGACCCTTTCCAGTGACACCATACTCAATTCAAGATGGCGGGTCAAGACAACTGCAATGGGAGATTGAGAGCCACCCAGAAGCTTGTTGTTGCATTCTAGAAAGGATGGGTACAAAAAAAGGGGGTGTCCTTGTGCTGGGAATAAAGATAATAGTATAGTTTAGGATTACGGGCTCTATCTCCAGATGGACACCCTAAGTTCAAATCCTGGTTGTGCCTCACTTGCTGGTGACCTTGAAGAGTTATTTCACTACTTTAACCTCAGTTACTGCATCTGTAAAATAGAAGGAACAGAACTCACTCCTCTCAGGGTTCCAGACCAAGGACATGGGGGAGCCAGGATGACCCTCTAGTCTACTTCTCCTGAGTTCATCCCTGGAAAGGGGTAAGTGTTCCTTCCTACCTCCTCACCATCCTAGCAGAAGGAGGAAGAACCACCTGCGAGTCCCAGGGGGAGGCGTACAAGAGGAGACAAGAAAAGGGAAACTCAGGAAAGAACAATATCAAATGTTGGGGTGCTGGGGCTGCCGCCATAGACCAATTAATAAAAGTGTCCACACTGCAGAAGACTGTGAAGTAGGCAGACACTCTCATCCATGAAAAACACCCTGACTCACAGTCTTGCGGGAGCCCATGGGTATTAATTTGATGACTTCAGAGCAGGTGTGACGAAATCAATCTCATTCTGGTCATCACCAGCCATCACAGCTACAGGCACTGGGGCTGCCGGCCAGGAGCCCCCCGGATGTGTCCCCAGAACCTCCTCCCCCAAAGCCCACCAATGCCAAGAGCCTCTGAAATCCCACTGCCCACTCACCTATGCCAGGGATCTTGTGTGTGTGTGGGGTGGGGGGGAATTGCTGGGGTGAGGGTGGCATGTGAAAGAATCACTCAAAAAATATCAACATGTGTTTAATAAACAGCAGTTACTTTTTAAGATGCTGGGAAGGCACAGCTGTGAGGAAGGTGGGTAAGATCCCTGCCCCGTGCTGGGGACACTAGGGAATGATCCTGGTGGTAGATTCAGCTTCTCTCCCTTCTTCCCTGCTCCTTCCTTCCCTCCGTCTCTCCTGCTCGGCTCATGCACTCAATAAATACAGTGCTCTGGGATCAGACTGCATCCTAGCTTGGCTGCTTACCAGCCAATGTGACCTTGGGTACATTTCTTAACCCCCAGTTCCCTCTTCTCTTAAATGGACACAAGAGAAGGATGAGCAACTTGGCAGATGTAAGGAGGCCTGGCTCTGGGAAATCACCAGGATGCTGAATTCAAGAATGACCCCGCACACCCTGACAGCCTGGGAGCCAAGGATGATAGACTAGACATTTCTCCAGGTTTGAATAGCCCTGACCTCATCTCCCAGCATCCTGGAGGGCACAGCACATCTCTGAGCTTGACGAGATGCCAGCCCCTCAGGACAAGGCTGCCTGCCATAACAAGCTGGCCGGAACGGGAGGCGGAACATCCACCCTGTCTGTGGCTGTGAGCAAGATTCCAGGGGGCTGGGAAGCTCGCCCCACCCCTCAGAATGTCACTGTGCTCGCTCTACATCCTGACTACACATCCTCCTGTGTCCTTTAGGTAACTTGGCTTATTCGAGTGTCTACTGATGACAAATTGGTCGGACTCAAGGGCGTGATGGGGAAATTCAGGGCAGTCTCAAGTCAAGAGGCTAAATCCTAAAGGTTAGGTCTTCTTGCATTGGGCACTCATGTGTGCCAGGCATGTGCAAATGCTGGGCATATCCATGTGTGCATGCTTGCACACACATGCGCACACACACACAGTGCCAAGGACAGCAAATACAAGGTGACATCACTGTTTCCGTAGCAGCAAAAGCCCCTCTGGCCCCTCCTGAGCAGCTTTGGGCTGCAGGAAGCTCTTCAGAACATTCCAGCAGCCATCATGATCCCCCATCTTCGCTTCCTTTCAAACACCCGGAGGGTACGGTAAATGCCAGCGGCATGTGTTTAAGGCTGAAAACAATCTACAGATAAGAACGGAAGCTTAGTTATAGTTTCAAAATGGAATGTCAATACTCTAATGTTTGAGAATGTGAAAAGCAAAATTGAAAGTATAAAAATAGAACAAAGATGAGAAAGCAAGGCCCGGACACAATTTAAGTCTTTTTGCCGTTGGTGGGTGAAGGGACTAGTCAGTTCATCCTCACGGTTATGTGTGAAGAAACAGAAGCACAGTCACACAACTCTCCACCAGAATTAATTAACACCAATACTATTAACATAAGTCACTTCCATCTTAAGTGATTAAAAAGAGGAAAGAACGACTTTAATTCCCATGTAGATGGGACGCGTCATTTCTAGTGTGGTGAACCCAAACCCTCTCCCTGCTGCCGAGCTCTCAGTGATTCCATCTGTTTTCATGGAAACGATGGGTGCGAGCTCATCCTTGCCCCCAGCCCTGGGCAGCGGGGGGAGGTCGGCACCCCTGATGCCACACTTGGACCATCATCGTCCAGGTCTACTCGTTTGTGCAGGTGATCGTGCCCGTTACAATGGCAGTGACTGCCAGGAAGGGGGTCAACTCCAAGTCTCTACGTCTATTTAGTGGTCTCAGAGCTTCCTGCAGCTCACCTTACTTGGGTGACCCACAGGCCTCCCGAGCGCATCACACCCAATCCCGGCTCTTGGCTTGGGAACCGCCCCCTGACCCTTGTCCCCCACGCCCAGGCCTGCACTCCCTGAGCACTCACATAAACCTGAGCTCAGACTCCCGGCGGACCAGGACTTCCCGAAGACGCTGGATTTTGGCCATCTCCAGCTCGATCTCCTCGGGCATCATGGTCGTCTCTGCCATGGAGATGATGTCCAGCTGACCTGGTGGGACACACGAAACGCAGGTGTCAGGACCCCAAAGCCACCAGCGTTTCAAGAATTCCCTGGGGACAGCCCTGGCCTTGCAGGGGCCATCACACACCTGGGGGTCAAGGGGCTCAGCCTGCACCCCCTGTGTGTGGCTACAAGCCATCCTTTGGAGACCAGAAAACAGGTCTGCGCCAGGACCCAGTTACAACGGGAGGGGTGTCCAGTGGGCTCGCCAAATCCGGGTCAAGGTTTCTGCTCCCCTTGACCTCAGGCGTCCCCACCTCAAGTCCAAGTCAACATTAGGCAAAAGAAAGTTTTATGATAGTGATTTATAGTAACATATTAATTATTAATAATTACCATCTAGTATTAATGATTACCATATAGGACTACAAAGTGAGGTAAGAGTAATATGAAGCAGTGTAAGTAGGTTGTTGGAAATTCAGGTAGACAAAAAAATAACAGTCAAGTCACACAGGACCCCACCACTCAGGGAATCGCTACTCACATTTTGATGGCCATTCTTCCCTCTTAAATTAATAGTGATATCAATAGTGATATGTATATTAATAGTATACATATAGGCATATATAACCACATATATAATATTATATGACTGTGTATGATTATATAAAGATGACATATATGTGTGTGCAGTGTGTATGTATGATGCACATTAGTTCACTTGGGCTGTCATAATAAAATATCATACGCTGAGTGGCTTAAACAACCGTCATCAATGTCCTCACAGTTCTGGAGGCCAGAAGTCCCAGATCAGGGTGCAGCAGGGCCAGTTTCGGGGTGGGGGGGCTCTTTTCCCGGCTTATTGACAGCTGCCTTCTCACTGTGTCTTCACATGGCCTCTCTGTGTTCTTGCAGAGAGCTGGTGCCCATCTGTAAGGACACCAACCTCTCTGATCAGGGCTCACCTGTGACCTCATTTCACATTAATTCTTCCCTTCGAGGGTCTATCTCCAAATCAGTCACAGTAATTTAATATATTACTGTAAATCATTAAGTGTGTTTCTTAAGACTTCAACACTGAATTTAGGAGGGACACATTTAGTCTATAACATTGTGTACCTATGTGTGTGTACCTATATATGTGATTATATATATAAAATATTATAGGAGACCACATAGATTGCCATTAGAATTCTAGAGTACATTTTTCAATGTATATATGATAATTTATATGATTTTATATATTTTTATGATATATATTTTATATGATATTATATGTAGTGCTAGCATATAGGCTAATATCTATAGTTTTCTGTAAGTGTTTTATATATATATTATAGAACACATTTTTTTAAAGACTGGAAAAACCTAAAGATTAGTAAAGTATTACATGCATGTGCACATATAACTCCATATCTATACACACACACGCACACTATTATAAACACACATATCCACCATTCCACGGGTCTGGTTTTTCTCATATTAAATTAGGGTCTGGCCATTTGGTACCTGCTCTTTTCACTTAACAACTCGTCACGCGCATTTTCGCACGTCCTTGAGTGTTCTCCCCCAGCAGCAGTGGGAAAGGCTGTGTAGTTTTCTATTTGTGGCCACGTTATGAATCATCTCACCAACCCCCAGACATTTGGGTTGTTTTCCACTCTCCCCACTATAAACAGCCCCGTGAAGAGTGTTCTCCAAATGAAATCGCTACGTGCATCTGAGAGGTCTCCTTAGGCTACATTTTCAGAGCGAATGACTGAACTATTTAGAGGATGCCATAGTCTAAGGGCTTTGTCAGGCAGAGAAGGAGACGCAGAAGAGGGGGTTCTTGCTTTACTCTGAGGTCACTATTGCTTCACCTATGCAGGCTGACCGCCTCCCTCGGCCTGTGTCGCCAGGTCCACCCAAACACCATTCTCGTTCCTCCATTCTCCTTCCATCCGGGTCAGCGTTTAGAAAGCTGCCTTCTCTCCACCTGTCTCACTCCTTCGACACAGCACCCTGGCCCACACCTGCCCAGGGCCTAGGGGGCGTGATATGTGGGTTTTCCCTAGGCCAACTCCTGCCTGCTTGACCCTCAAACAGCACCCACCCCCAAAACCCTCCACCACAGCCTGCCTTCTGTAGGAATTTCCTCACCCCAAGTTCTTCACTAAACATCAGATTTCTGGTGCATTACTATACCCCTCCATCACCTGCCTCCAACACGTCCGTTCCACAAGTCAAAGTTTCCTACACCCCACCCTCCTACGCCTCATTTTGCTGAGGCATCAGGAGGAAAAGCATCACCCACAATTGATTCGCAGGTTGAAAGGAATCCTCTCAGAGATGTTTGCAATTTATAAGAGAGAAACACGGACAGAGGCCACGGAATGGGCCATGAGCTTTGCTGGGGAGAAGCGTTGGCCTGATAGTTGGAAGCCTAGGAGAGGGCTTCTCAGTCTGTTCCAGTTTGCGTTTTCAGGGAGCTCCCAGCTTTCACAGCATGGATGGGGCAGGATCTGGCATGAGGTGGGGGAGGAAGGCGGTGAGCAATTGCCTGGATGGAGAGGAAGAGCGGAGCAGAGAGAACACTCCTGGGAGGCTGCTCCCGACTGCAGCCTCCCTCCTGCGCAAGATGGAGGGTTCTGAAGAGGGTCCTGTGGTCAGGCTGAGACCCCGCAGATGAGGTGGAGGGAGATGGAGCGGGGAGCAGGTAGGAAATAGAAGGGAGAAGAGAGATTGGAGCAGCTGTGTCAGGACTGGGACTTGCAAAGAGGGAGAGATGTCCAAAGCCTTTTAGAACATGTTCCATGCGATGTGCCTCATAGTGATCTCAGAGCCCCTGGAATCAAATTTGGGTCCGACTGCCCCTGACACCAGCCTGAATTGGCACCTAGTATTGAAGCAACCAGGACTGGCTTGAGGAAGGAGGGTGGAAGGACAAGATAAAACTATTACTGGTGATTGTTCTGTGTGCGGGGCTCCAAGCAGGGAGAGGGCCCGCTCCTACGAGCCCTGACTCTGGACACAGGTAATAATGCAGGGTTGGGGTCACCTGGTATGGGTGTGCTACTCCGAAGTGACCTGTTCAGCCACCAGTTTTTGTTACCTGCAGTTCTGCATTCCTGTACAAGGTCAGAACAGCCCAGGCAGTCAGTCATAGGCGCCAAACCTTACAAGGTGCCTTTCAAATCAATCAAGAGCTTAAAGCTTGATCACTCTGGGAAGGGTAGGCATCACAAGGTATGACCTGGAATGCGGGGTGGTGGGGGGAAGTCCCCCACTAAGACCCAATGCATGACAAGGGACCCCAGAAGCTGACCAGTGGAAAGCCTTGTTGATAAGATTGAAACCATGGCTGGGGATCTAGAACTTGATCTCAATTACAATACTGAGTGATCAAGCAGATGAGAAGTGCCTGGGGGGCAGACTCACAACCCCTGATACTATAGATGACAGAGCACATTTTCTGGTTTCACCCCTCCCTTTTCTTTTTGTTCTCCCGCCCCTCACAACTGATGCTGTATGATTGTTCTATCAATAAAAAGGCCAGGATCTTGCTCTTCAGCAGCATCCTGCATCCCACAGTTTGCTCCACAACTCCTGTTTGTCACTGTGGTGTTATCAACACAACAACCTGGGATGGAGAGAGAGGTGTTCTAGAAGGTGTCCCACCAGCATTTTAGTGGCACAACTAATTGGCCGTAAGACAATTTTGTCATCAAAGGGAAACCGGAAAACAAAAGGACATTCAAAAGGTGAAAGCTGACCCGCGGCCATCTGCGCAAAGGACTGAGTCCTTTTGTGGCTTGTACCTGAGGCTGCCTCTAAGTCTTTTGTTCATTCATAGTATTATACATTTTCTTTCTGGTATTTTTCAATGATCAAACTTCCTGAAAGTGTGAAATCAGAGCGTGCAAAGCCAGATCGCATATGCCATGCTAGAAAATGAAAACACATCCGTTTGCAAAGAGTTGGTTTCTTCTCGTGTCCAGGAGAGAGAAACCAAACTGTCAACCTGCTAGTTCTTTTCTTTTCTGCCACAAAATTGCCTGACAGCACTTACTCAGATAACCAAATGGCCCATGGAGACACAACAACTCAGAACCCACCCTTCTGGGGTCAGAGGGCCTGGGTTCCAGTCCCAGCTGTGCCCCTCACCAGTGGCAGTGCCCTGCGAAGTTAGTTAATTTCTTGGTGACTCGGTTTCCTCTGCAACAGATTAGGAGGACCTGCCAGCCTGGGCAGATGGGGACTGAATTCACCCAAGCCTGGCGCCTTTCCTCCCCACCGGTCGGAAGATCTGCATGTTCTCAATGAAGAAGGGAACTAAGGCTGTGAGGGCTGGGGGGACCATGAAAGCCGGAGCGGGGCTATGAGGACTAGGAGGGCTGTGGGGCTGTGAGGGCTGGCAGGAGTGGGGAGCTGAGCCCAAGTCAGCCTACAAAGGCATCTCTGTGACCTGCCGTTGGCCTTTGCTTCAGACTCATAGCCCCAGTTCACTCCAGCTGGGAGTCAAGGGCGTGTCAGGTTCCTGGGGCTGCCAGAAGGAACTACCACAAACTGGCTCCAGAGAACAATCTCTGCTGGCCTCATCCAGGCCTCAGGGCTCTCTGACCTCTGCCTCCGTGTTCCCATGGGGTTCTGCGTGTCTTACTCGGTCTTTTCTGGTCCCACTGGATTTAGGGGTCCACCTACCACCTACCCCCACCCACCATTCACCCCACCCCCACTAAAATGGCCTCATTTTAGTCTTTAACTTTATTATTTCTACAAAGATCTTCTTTTCAAATCAGGTGCATCCTGATGTTGTAGAGCAACCCCGATACAAAACGGGGTGCCTGACTGTGGGTCCTCACCCGCATGCTTAAAAGGACTTATCAATGCTCTACTGCAAGCACACACGAAAGGTTAATAAAAGGTTTATGTACAAGGGAAGGGGAAATGAGGAAATGTACGGCTCTGGGAGAAAAGTGGGAGACAAAGTTTTTAATGAGTCCTACCCAATCCGCCGATCAGGAATCCCAAAATGGCGATCTCAGAGTTGGCCACCAGCCAGG